CTTTATTTTTTTATTTCTATTGTCAGGAGCGTAGCGTAGCGAAGGGAGTAAAGAGCACATTATAACGAACCTGACAAATATAATTTTATTTGTGTGGGTTTGCTGGTTCAAGAGTTATTGCAGCTTGAGCTTTCTATGCTTTTACTATTAAACTACATACCTAAAAAAATCTTGATTAATGTAATTAGACCACCCCAATTTGGTGTGCCTTAGATGCATCCTTGCGTCAGATAACTCCCGGCCTGAGTTAGGATTAGAGTTGGGGTGAAAATTACGGTATAATTTAGGCCAATTATTACAGAATTATTTAATGTTGGTCATCTGATAGCTATCCGAGGTGCGTCAACTGCAATAAATTTATAAAAATTATATATTATATATCAAAGAATTAGCTTAGATTATTTTAAAATTCTCAGAATGATTAATTAATAAAGTTATAAGAGTTTATTTTATGAGCCTCTAATTTATAATTTATTTTCGATATAAAATTATAACGCTGAACCTTTATCTGAATGTCGTCTTTATTAGTTATATACAACACCTTTCTTTAGAGTACAATGGAATATCAAATACCAATAACGGAATTCTTATAACAATACTCAAGCAAATTTTCAATTTCACATTATAATCTATTATTTATAATATTATATGAATTAATTATTTTATTGTAACATTGGCCTAAATTTAAAAAAACGTCCATTAGCAAGGGATTATAGCGTGAATAGATATCGGTAAACATGTATAAAGATATAACTTACTTGTATTCTCTTAATATCTAAAAGAACATTTAATTGTGTTTATTAATTTGAATTCATGTTTATTTGTAAAAATATTTGACTTGAAAAAAAAGAAACTTACCACTGGCACACTAGTACACGGGATCATTCCAACCTCCGTTATAACGGTTGTAATATATTTTGAAGGTGTTAAATCGTACAATAAATTTAACAGTTTCAAATCTGGCTTATTTAGCCACTCAGACAGCAACCCAGGCTTTGGAGTTGAGGTAGTAGAAATATTTACCATATCATTAGGATTACCTTGTTCATTCATTACAAAAGAATCTAATTGAACCTTATCTGTAAACTTATAAGTCTCACAGCAAATAATAACTGGAATGTTCTTTTCCTTTGCCATCATTGCGACCATTGCAGTGCCTACACGCGAATAAAGAGCACCATTCGACATGAAAGCATGCGCTCCCAAAAAAACTTTTGAAACATCCCTCATCGCAAATCCAACAGCATGAAGAAAAGCATATGTGCAGTTAATACCAGCATCAACGAGACGATTCAAGAGTTTTTTACCTTTAAATAAAGGTATAAAAAATTAACTATCCATAAATAAACATGGTATAATAGTATTTTATCCATTAATGATCTATATATTATTAATATTATCGTTATTATTAGCTAATGGAATGTGGACAAATTGACTT